CACACACACACACACACACACACACACACACACACACACACACACACACACACACACACACACAAAACGCCCTGCCCCATTAGCATTTTGGCAAATACAATTCAACAAAACTTTATTGTGGTGGTGTTAAAAAAACAGGAGACAGACGCTCAGAAAACAGCAACGCCGATTCACCGGCATGCAGCCTCATCTGGGGCAGCACGGTGGACCTCGTAGTGAGCACATCTGACTCACCGTCAAAAGGATCTGGGTTTGAAACTCCCCATATTCCAAAACTGTCGACAAAAAAAATGCACGAATGCTTCAATGAAGACAAAAAATGGGTTTTCCTAAAACAAGGGTTCAACACCCACACTTTAGCCCATAAAAGGTTTTACACCTACACTTAAACCATTAGGAGTTTCCTCCCTAGAGCCTTGTCCCTAGCTTTTCACCGCATCCTTTTTTGTCCAAAACCGATCGAGAAAGTATTTCAATATTGACAATGTCTGTTCCAGTACGGACGAGAACCTCCGTTTTGATCATCGAGAAAATTCGTTGCATTCATGCTTTGACTGGTGAAAGAGTGACAAAAATGAAGTCCACTGATCTCTTATCAGCGACCCGCCAGACTTCTCGATATCTGGGCCATGTTAGTCTTGTCCTCTGAACAGGTTGTAACAGTAAATTGAATTCCTTCTGTGTTTCTTGCATACATGGTCAATAAATCTGATTCTGATTCTGATTTTAGAGACTCCACGAGCACAAACTAGAATCTGGGATCTTCCAGTCTTTGCCATCTTACATCATAAAAATTAGTCGATTTTTCATTAAAAAATAAAAAAGTCATCCCAGACATAATTTGTATGGACAGAAAGAATGGTGAGATTCCATGTCCCGACGCGAGTTGCTGTAGCGCCCGAGGTCCTCAACGCAAGTCAGAGTGCCAGAGAAGCAGTTTGGAACATCGAAGAGCTTTTTATTTGGCTTGCAACACAAAAGCTCAGTGAGTGCAAGTAAGAGGAGATCATCTTCATCACCCTCATCTTCAGCTCGTTAAAATGTTTGGCTCGTTAAGGACGGAGGATGCTGGGAGCCAGCCAAGATGGCCTCCTCTTCTTCCCATCCAGGGCCCCCCGACTCCCACCCCCACGATTGCCTTTGTGAAGCCTGTCAAAGCTTTTCTCGTCACACTCGGGCTCAATATTCCTCTTGTTTGTCTCCACCAGCAAGAAACTTCTCAAACAATACACGGCGAGCCTTCCACTCTTAGCTTAGTGCAATAGCATACATTCAGGAGCGTCTACAAATTCTGCAGAAAAATTGGAGGAACAACTTTGATTGCAAATGCCGGTGCATTACATTACAGTAGGTGAGCCAGGGTATTCATTTTTACACTTAGATACATTTTAAAGATCGCTAGCTTAATGCTAACACATCATGGGAAAAGCCAGAGACAGGCTAACACATAGCATCGTGTCGTGGTGTTACAAGTAATGGATATTTGAACACAAACAGTGACGCATGGAGACAATATAACAATCCTCGCAGGCATATTCTTTATCCTCGGTGAGGAACGACTATTATTATGGCTGAGCGCGGATGTTTGAATGGACTAACAATTGGTCCCTGGGTGGCCACAATGCGTGAACATCAGATGGAGCAGCGCAACGTCCACTGAATTGAAACCCGAAATGTCGCCAAAACCGTTTCATTTCCTTCCATTATTTTCATTTCCATCATGACTGTGTTGTTGGTACAAACGAGTGCACTACTGCAAAGTGACATTTGTTCTTTTCATTTTTGTAGATCATTTTTAATTGGCATCAGATGACTACATTGTGACGCTGTGACAGTGTAAAGTCGTTTGCCCGTGTTGGCGTCACATGAAAGCAAAATGTTTCTCCTCCCTGTGTGATGACTACGCAGCTCAAGTGGGCATATTTGATGAGAAAAAGCGACCGTCTATTTGATTAAATATGAAGGCTGTAGAATGAGTTTCTTTTTAAACGTGTGAATTGCTACAATTGGACCACGAAAAAAAGGCAAAGGAAAAAAACGGGGCTAATCCCTCCATTCCCCTCCATGGCTCTTTGCTGGATTTCCTCTGTTTGGCTTGCCGGCCGCCGGCCAGACAAAAGAGACAAAAGGAGACGCTAAGCTCCTCGTCCGCAGCCATGCGCCGGCGGCCCGACGAGCGGCAAACAGGACGACGGGCAAGGAGAGCAAAGATCCTCGGTGAGATCACCTTGCAAGTCTCACAAGCAAAACGGAAGAACAGCAAGTCACACCGAATGGACAACATCACCCAGAAAGACCATTTGGGGTCAACACCCACATTTTTCCCAATTGCAGTTTTCTATACCCACACCGATACAGATGAAAGGTTTCAAGTGCAATGCCAAATACCCACACTATTGCGAGGAAAAGCTTTCAATACCCACATTTTCCCTGATCAAATATTTAAATTTAAGACGCACATCTCTACAGATGAGGAGTTACAAAACCCACATTTTTCCAGATGAATGGACACGTCTGATGAGAGCTTTCAACACACACATTTTTCTCGAATTAAGATTTCAAGATTTCAACACCGCTACCTCTGCAGATGAAAGGTTTAAACACACACACATTTCCAACAGAAAAAAACTATCACCCACGCTTTTCCTGATGGCAGTTTTGTCAACACTAAAACTTTTCTGAATTAAATATTTAAATTACCACACATTTTACGATAAAAAGGTTTCATCACTTTTACCGATCAATGATTTAAACACCATTACTTTTCCCAATGAACGGTTTTACCACTCACATGATGGATTTCATAACCTTTCATAACATTTTTCATGACGAAAGGTTGCAACATCTACACTTTTTCCAATGAAAGGTCTTGAATACCTACTGTTTTCCCACTAAAATATTTCATCACACGTTATTCCGAAGGAAAGGTTTCAACACCCACGTTTTTTCCAATAAAACATTTGAACACCCACACTTCTTCCCATAAACAGTTTCAACACCAATTAAACGTCTCAACACGCACATTGTTCTCCAGGAAAAGGTTTTTAAGTCCCACACAACAATGCCAAAACATGTCCAGATCAAAGATTTGAACACCCACACTATTTCTTTTGCAAAACGACACAAGACGGATGCGCTAGCTCAGTTCAAACTGTGGATCCCCGATTCATGACGGTGCTCAAGAATTCACGCAGGTTTTCGTGACCCAACAGAGGTTGGAGAAGATCCTGACATTCAAAGGTCTGATCAGTTCTTGAGGTTTGAGTCAGCACTCAAGTCGTTATGAGACTGCTCGAGTTTTGGCACGATCCAACCAATCGGGGATGGGGGTTTGTTTTGTGATTATTCACCTCTGGGATACTTGACTCGAGTCGGCACTCAACCGGTCAAAGTTTTCCATCAACTTCAGTGACACAGATTGTTACGCAATGCAAAAAGCATGCAAATTGTTCAAGTTCCCTTTTTGACACACGACGGAGGAAGTAGAAAGTCAGTGCGGGGATGCGAGCGCCACTCAACCAGTCACCGCAGTCACGGTTCAACCCGTCTTTGGATTCACATTGCTCTGATTCTCTGCGCTCGCAGAGACAAGACTTTCTCTTCTCGCCTTTTTCTTTCTGGATCACACCCGCGCACACACAAAGCATCT